CAGGTTGTGTTGTGTCATTGCATGGCTAAGGTTCTTTGTCTTGCGCGAACCCTTGTTTTAAAATACTAAAAGCTTCTTGCACTTCACAACAGTCAGAGCACGTCAACGATCGCATCTCATAGCAATTAGGACTAAACAACAAAAGGTTAGTATAATGTTTTAAGGATTGTATATATGTTAAGTACTGAGCAGTAATGGTATTGATGTAAAGTAATTATTCTGGTGTATCATAATGTTTGCTAGAATGTATAATCGCGTAGTGTATATAGAGAATCTCACCCGAGTGTCTTTTGATATCAAATATATCAACACGAGTTGATAAAAGTGGAAAAATTCCGAGGCTTCCCGATGATTTTTGCCACTTTTATCAACGAGTGTTGATATATTTGATATCAATAGACACGAGGGTGAGATTTTATTTATTCTTCCAACTTTTTCAATTTGTAAACAGTAATTAGCAGTGTCTTCAGTGTAAAAAGTACTGCAAACAGCTTCAGTAGCAGAGCCATTAGTGATGTCATTTGATTGTGACGTCATGGTAACCAGTGACGTCACAATGTTCTGCAAAGCATTGTGATGTAATTTCATTGCAGCGATATCTACAGTGTAGATATCGCTTGATCTCATCCAAGCGATATCTCCTGTGGGAGCCAGTTTTGGATGATAAAAGTTGTGCAATGGCGTTTACACATAAGTTTAATACTGTTCATCATTATTTACCTAACGCATGTGCTTTAAAATGTTAGTTTCGGGGTAAAAAAAGTTGAATGAAAGAATGAATTAATGAACGAATGATATGACCTGACATTTCATATGCATTATACATTATCATCATAAGGTTCATTAGTAATGTATACAATACAACGATTAATTTTACTTGTATATATGTGCGCATTTAGAATATTCTGAATGTGGTTTGTTTATTTTTATAGCAGCGCTAAATTCCCCCAGAGGAAGTGGAATAATGTACACCCCAGCGTCACCCACAGGGTACGAAACTTATTATTGTGTCATTACATTGCAATTATGTTAGATACATAGTTTCTCTATCTTTAGCATTCAGTTTGTTTAACGTTCATCACAACGTGTACGTCAGTATGAAGTATTTGTCTTTTGTTTGTCTTATCAAGGAGTTATCGTTCTTGGATGGTTGCCTCAATTAAAATGTGTTGATGACAATGTCATTATTTCTGTACAGTATTATTTACTGCGTATGTTTTCTGAAGATCGATATAAGAATTAATCCTTTTGTAATAGAAATGGTTTGTGATATTAATTTGTTGTATTTATTCATATATGTGTATATGTTTATCCTGAACTAGTATTTATTCCCTATACATGCATTTCAGGGTGGCTATCTGTCAATTGACAAAGAAATAAAGTCTCACAGCCGAGAGAGAGAGAGAAAGAGTGTTACACGTGTTCTGTGATCCCGTTGGCCATACACTGCATCTCAGTAGCTTCCTGCAAAGAGCAAAGACATTGATCACATTACGAATATTTGTGTTCATCCTTCGTTTTAGTGATCTTGAGACAACAACATCGCCACTTAATCCATCCAAAACCACAGGATCACAAAGGGCAAGATAATGAATAAATGAAAACAACGAAACGTGCTCTAGTATTTCGTTACATATTTCGTCTGTATGCTTAAATTGTTGTAGTCACGATATGGCTTAAATCTTGCCGATGTGACTGTAAATCTTAACTCACTCACTCACCCACTAGTGATCTTGATTTGAAACAATATTATCGCAGCAAAACTTCGAAATAATTGAGCAGTCAATAGCACTGGCTGTGTGTCTGATACCTTTATATTAAACTCTTATCACCAACGGCGCCATATATATACTGTTCAAAGCGCTTTAAACCACCCAACTCTGGCTCTAATCTCGCACTAAAATTATGCCTTATGAACTAATATATATGTTGAACACCTTTTTATTCATAAGTATTCGACCTGTGGAGATGCGGGGTAGAATAGGTCTACAGCAACACATACTTGCAGTAAAAAGCGATTATGCTTGTCGTAAGAGGCGCCCAACGGGATCGGGCGGTCAGGCTCGCTGACGTGGTTAATGCATCGCAACGTATCCCAATTGCGTAGATCGATGCTCATGATGTCAATCACTGGATTGTCTGATCCAGACTCGTTTATTTCCTGACCGCCGTCACATAGCTGGAATATTGCTGAGTGCGGCGTTAAACAACAAACAAATCATACAGAAAATGTGGTTGGGTTAGGATAAAGAAAAGGTATTTTACTTTCTCCCGAAGAAAGGCGGAAACATAAACATCACGAAGTTTTCTTTCTTGACAAGTAAGTGCGTGCAACTTAACATATAATATGAATATATTTGTATAAAAATGCTTTCTTATTGGCGTTATTTTCCTTGTGATTTGGTTGATGCATTTCATCGTTATCAATGCTCATGATGTTACTCACTGGATTGTTTGTTCCTCATTCTATTATTTACAGACCGCCGTCATATAGCTGGAATATTGCTGAGTGCGGCGTAAAACAATAAACAAACAAACAAATCTTGTCTGTTTTGAAATAATGTTTCTTTGTACGGTTCAATCTGTAATAACACTGTTTAACATTCCATATAATTAGTATCAAGTTTCTGTTAACGATACTTATCTGTTTAGATATTTCCAGTGGCATTCCCAATGACAAATCTCAAGACTTTTTATTTATGATTCATGTTCACTGAAAAAATGCTCAATGGGTCATGTTCTCTGGTAGTGCCGCGCCATGTATGTGACATACTTTGTGTCCTCACGGAAGCAGTTAGTGTCAAAACCAAAACATTCATTAAACAATAAACAAACATCTAAATGCGGCCTTTAAAATCGAATCTGGACCAGACAAACAAGTGACTGATATTATGATCAACGCCACACACCGTGGGGGGCCATAACACGGAATCAACCGAGTCACCAAGCCTCACTACCCGATCCCGTTAGTTGGCTCTTACGACGAGTATGGGACGCCGAAGACAAATTCAAACACGTATCTTCACTGGGTGGTTTGAGGTTGAAATTATATGCTGGAAAAACATGTAGTGCGATTTTACATGAGTTGATTTCATGACGAATCGGCAGCTGCTGTGCCTTGATCCGTTCTTGACGAGGGTGACGTCATTGCACATCATGCTGTTGGTCATGCTGCGGCGCCGATCGGAACTGCTGGAGTCAAAATTGCTTCGATACAACATCCATTTTCTTTTGACAACCGCTATAACCTAAACAAACGAATGAAAGTTACTGCTACATTATTCTAAGGAAGCCTTTAAGGGCCATTTTTTTCTTTCTTGAAATTTCAAGATGTTGTGTTGAAATGTCAAGATACTTAGTTGAAATTTCAAGAAACTAAGTTGAAATTTCAAATTATTATCTTGAAATTTCAAATTATTATCTTGAAATTTCAAGATGATTGTCTTGAAATTTTAACTTAGTATCTTGCAACTACAAGATGGTGTCTTGAAATTTCAACTTAGTATTTCAAGAAAAGAATAAAACAAAAAAACCAAATTGCACTAAAAGGCGTCCGTATTATTCGCTATATATATGTTACTATTGTTAAAATACAGAATACAGTTTCTTGGATAAGTTTGGTGCACTCTGCTACCGAGAGTTCCATGCGACAAGCATAATACCTCTGCCACAGGCTAGCGCCATGTGACGATTCGTCACATCTTACACAGTCCTTTCAAGATATTGCATATGTTTTTCATCTGTTTCATTTTTAACAAGTCTACACATCTAGATATTAAACATATGTCATAGAATGGTTAACTTTCATTGAGAAAATATCCTAAATCGTGAAAAACTATTTACCATTTGCATAGTTATCCTATGTTTACATTGGTTGTACGGCTCCACGTGCTGTCATCGAAGCTCTATGGAGAGCTAGCGACAGGTCACTTTGATGTGTTAATATGTATTGTCATGCAACTCACTGTCGCAGTTGTAGATGCATATCTATATAGTTATGCAAAACAATATGTAAAGCGACCCCAAATACTTACATTAGTCCGCTCTATTCTGATTTTTGAAAATGCGCGTTTGTTACCGACAAGAGAAAAGTCCGTTCACGATATTGATATGCAAATTAGCTTGTGGCAGTGGGGTGTTTTGCTGAGTCACCAGCAGCGTTTTGGTGATTGGTGAAGACTGTGCTAATTGTTCGAACTCTTGGTCATGTTATCGCTGAAGGGGTCGTTGCCGGCATAGGTACTACAGATATGTACCCCTGTGTACAGACATGTACCCTAGCCAACCGCTGCAGGCCGTATTTCGCAATGCGCTTAACCGGTTCCTTGAACGCCATAGGACGTATCCAAAGAGGGGAATCGCAGTCTTTTGTTGCACGCCATTTCAACGTCTACCACAGCACCAGTTGCCACCTTTGTGACTGATAAACATAGACCCTCAGCAATATATGCTTTCCGTAAAAGGCGACTATGCTTGTCAGGAACCATCTTCGCGAGGCTGGAATCCGACCCAGAAGACCAGTTATCGTCCCTCTTTTGCAACAGATCCATCGACAGCGACGTTTGCGATGGTGCCATACCTAACAGCCTTGGAATTTGAGAAACTAGAGTCGAGTGTGGTTTAGCGATGAATCACGATTTCTTCTTCGAGATGGGCGTGAATTCGACAATTTCGGTGGCGGTAGTATCATGGTGTGGGGGGCCATATCCTACAACACGAGATCTGACTTGGTTGTGGTTCAGGGAAATTTGACAGCAAATCGCTACATGAATCAAATTCGTCAACCTCACTTTCTTCCAATCATTGACCGCCAGAGGCAGCTGTTTCAACAGGACAACGTTTCAACGCACACAGCTCGTGTCACGGTAGACAACCTCCATAATGCCAACATCAACGACTTGCCCTGACCGTCGAGATCTCCAGACCTCAACCCAATCCAACACCTCTGCGATAAACTCGATCGACGTGTACGTCAACGTCAGAACACACCGTAGACGCTCCTACAACTGACCAACGGGTTACAAGCAGAATTCCACAGGACAGAACTCGTACACTTATCCAGTCAGTGGAGGGGAGATGCAGAGCCGTGATTGCTTCCCGGGGCGGTCACACGAGATACTTAGTTCAGCGCAACCTTGTGGCCTTATGTGACATGACAATGAACAGTTTTCAATGCCTTTGTACAACGACAACATGTGACTATCGAGCTCCAAAATTTCATATTTGTATCTATGATATAAAATTAAATACATCGACTTTTTCTAAACATCTACCTGTGCGTTTCTTTTTTTAAGAGTGTAGCAGGAATATTGCTGATTGCGGCGTTAAACAACCAACACACGTAAATAAATACTAGTTTTATAGTCGGACTTTCCTATGATTATGGGGAAGATTTTGTCGCTTTTATGTTTAATAATGTATGATGCCATGCCATTCCTTGCCATTCTACGCTGATACGCAATGACACAGAGCGACGTTAATCTTAAACGTCAACGCCAAATTATAACCAGTATCGATTATCCGCCAAAACTGATCCCATTTGGCGTAAGAGGCGAAATAGCAGTGAACATTATATGAATGAATCACTGAAATTCAGTGATGAGACCAGGGCCCACTTGCACAAAGCGATCCTAGCGCTAAGATGATCGTAACTCCCATACTTCAACATAGGCTTACCATAGTCTTAGCGCTAAGATCGCTTTGTGCAAGTGGGCCCAGGTTAAGCTCAACGCAATCAATCGAGCCATATTTTGTTGTTTTGCAACACTGAAAACAACAGAATGAAAAAGAAAAGATATGAGTGTTTACCTCGCCGTTGAAGAAGCAGAAAATGAGCGCAACACAAACGCCCTGAAAGAAAATCATTGGAAAATGAATATTAAATGCATTATTTGTACTGAATATTTCGACAATGAAAAACTAAATTAAAACTTGAAAGGTGATAATGTACAATGTACGGGTTACCCAGCCATAGTTGTTTTTCCCCATTACTAATGAGAACAGAGTAAATATATATATGTGCTGAAGATGACACACCTGATAAGATACCAAGAAAGCGGACACCATTTTGAATATGTAAAGCTCGCGCAGTCCGGATGTAGGTCGGAATGGGATGATCAGGTACTGGAGTCCAAGGAGAGGGATGAGAATCAGGATGGCCTTGGCCGCACGCCTGAAATAAAACAAGGAAGTTGCAGAGGCGCTCTGTGGATCCTGGATCATGAATAGCTGATTGGTGATGGTGTGTGTGTGTGTGTGTGTGCGTGCGTGCGTGCGTGCGTGCGTGCGTGCGTGCGTGCGTGCGTGTGTTAGCGCGCGCACATTATACCAAAGGCCGAGACCACAGAAGACATGAAAGAAGTGTGGAAAAAGGAGAGGTGTCTGAACAAAAGAACACTTTTTGAGTTATGCTCCGGAAACGAAATGATCACGGACGGACGGACGGACGGGGCGTCGACTATATATACGTGTTCAATGTTTTATATTATAAAGTATTTCACACTTTTCCAGTTGTGCTCCAGAAACGAAGCCTACCCCCTACTTTTGATACTTAGTCGACATTCTTTCCTGGAATTCGAGAAACGTAAAAATGCCAGAAATCTGCAAATAGCAAAATACTGAACGGTTTTCGAGTTGTGCCCTGGAAACGAAATGATTACGAACGGACGGACTGACAGACGAGGCGTCGACTACATCCACCCGCGTTGTATACCGGGAGAATAAAAAGTTATTTTTTGACAAATTTTTAAATAGGGAAAGTCCCAAGTCAAGCTGATGACCAATGCATATGTAAAGTTTTGTAGAAAAATGTTGAAGGTTTTCAAGTTATGGCCTGGAAATGAACCCTACTCTTGATTGAGACTAAGTCGAAATTGTTTCCATGGAAACATACAAAACTAATATTTTGAAATGATGGGCAATACATACAGCAAGTTTGGTTGAAACAGATTGAACGGTTTTCAAGTTATGGCTCAGAATAAGGCCAACGCCAACTGACAAGAACTGATTCAGAACAAAAAGAATGTCGACGGGTCATCAGACTACTGGCGCTGAGTCTGCGCGTGTCTTGCAGCAGGGGTGATCATACACGCTATTAATGTGACGTGTCATTAAACTTGAGCGATTTTAGATGTGTGCCCTTTGTCTATTACATTAAAAGCTTGTTTTTCCTACCCCACCACAACTGGCCAATAACGGAAGCTGTATGACTGTCCTTTTTAAATGTTGATTTCGTTGATATTTTGTTCCTTTCGATGCATTTTACTTCGTGTATCTATCGTTGGTGGTTTTTATAAATGGAGTGATTTAAAACCATGGTAAAGTTTATTTTGGCCGTCAGTCTACTTGTCCAGAAAACCGTAAATAAAGTGTGTAAATAACTGATTTCTTTGAATGTTTCTGAGTGCGGCGTTCAACAACAAATATCACATCATTCAATTTTCGGGAAGGTCCGGGGTAGAATAGATCTGATCAACCCATGCTTGCCGTAAAAAGCGTCTATGCTTGTCGTGAGAGGCGACTAACGGGATCCGGTGGTCAGGCTCGCTGACTTGACTGATGGATGTCATCGTATCCCAATTTCGTGGATCGATGCTCATGATGTCAATCACTGGATTGTCTTGTCCACACTCGATTATTTACAGCCCGCCGTCATATGGCTGGAATATTGCTGAGTGCGGCGTTAAACAACAAATAAAACAAAAAAACATTGAATGTTCATTACTCATTGCAACTATTTTTTGTGTGTCCTTTTTTTCTGAAAAAGATTGAAGAGAACATTTCTTCAAAATGCCAGTTCTGCCTTCACTAAGGGCATGGGTGGCCCATTTGCCAAAGTAATTTGTTATGTTGGTTAAGTCCCTTAACTGTGCAAGCATCCGATGATCAGGATTCGTTTACAAGATTTGATGGCAACATGGAGTACTTGGTTTGGTCTGTGCTCGTCGTTTTCATCAAACTGGTCAACGTATAGGTACTTGGTTTGGTTCGTGCTCGTCGTTTTCATCCAACTGGTCAACGTATAGGTACTTGGTTTGGTTCGTGCTCGTCGTTTTCATCAAACTGGAAAACGTATAGGTACTTGGTTTGGTTCGTGCTCGTCGTTTTCATCCAACTGGTCAACGTATAGGTACTTGGTTTGGTCTGTGCTCGTCGTTTTCATCAAACTGGTCAACGTATAGGTACTTGATTTGGTCTGTGCTCGTCGTTTTCATCAAAAACTGGTAATAGTATACGTGCTCTATAAACGAGCCCAACCCCAGGAACCCGCCACCCTACAAAGTGACATACGAATGAAATAATGGTCAAAGAGACGAATATTGCTGAGTGCGGCGATATACAATAAGTAAACACACAAACAAGCATATTATCTTTCTTCTACCTGTTTTGGTGCTGTTCGTTACTGTTGAAGGCACGGAGTTTGGACAGCAAGATCCGGAGGATGTTCACTAAGAAGAACAAATTAACCTGAAAATAAATTCAAATGAGTGAGTGAGTGAGTGAGTATGGTTTTACGCCGCTTTTAGCAATATTCCAGCAATATCACGGCGGGGGATACCAGAAATGGGCTTCACACATTGTACCCATGTCGGGAATCGAACCCGGGTCTTCGTGACGAGCGAACGCTTTAACCACTAGGCTACCCGACCGCCCCAAATTCAAATGAGAAGGTATGAGCAAACAGCCATGCACGATATCTAATAAATCCATCTCACCTTACTGTATATTGTTGATCGACTGGTGGTGAATTGTTTCTTTGGTTGACGCCACACTCAGCAATATTTTAACTATATGACAGTGGTGTGTAAATAATCGAGTCTGGACCAAACGTCCAGTGATTGATATCATGAGCATCGATCTACGAACTATGCTTGTCGGGTGGTCAGGCTCGCATGACTTGGTTGATGCACGTCATCGTCTCCCAAATGCGTGGATCGATGCTCCTGATATCTATCACTGGATTGTCTGGTCAAGAGTCGATTGTTTACAGACAGCCGTCATATGGCTGGAATATTGCTGAGTGCGGCGTTAAACAACAAACAATTGGAAAACGAAGACATGCACCAACCAAGTAAGCGAGCCTGACCACGCGATCCCGTTTAGTCGTTTCTTACGACAAACACGGCTTACTGAAGACTAAATCTATCCCGGATATTCACACTGTGAAACAATTGGCTATCTGTAGATCGATTTAATGTATATTCCTAAGTACAAAGTTGACCTTTTAATGATATTTCTCAAATAGATATAAACGGATAACTTTCATCGACCCTACCGATCTACATCGTGTTCAAAGTGAGTGAGTGAGTCAGTTGGGTTTAACGCTGCTTTTAACAGTATTCCATTGTCAGCTTAATTTGGGAGGAAAGCCCGACGTGATGCAGGTCTCAGACGTTTACCATTTCGGTGAAACCCACGAGTACGAGTATGGTGCTGACAAACCTAGAAACATAATCGGGGCGAACCGGGATTCGAACCCACAATCATAGGTTTCTGGCGTGGCAAGGGACGCAACTCTGCACAGCCAATTTACGGCGCCCTAAACGACTGGGCCACCCGTGCCCCCGTGTTCTGAAGGTAGTTTTCAGGAATATGTTTTGTAATGAGGCTACAAACTTAGAGAAAGCCATCGATTTAATCCCAGTTGATGGGATACCTTAAGTAACACGTGACGGGGTACGTCGCAATGGAATCCCCTTTCTGACCAAGACCCACGTTCGCTCCCTTACTTCCAGTTCGGGCTTGTGTAAAAAAAAAAAGAGAAGCCCCTAGACCTTTAATAATATCACCATAATGTAAGCATGGAAGTTGGAAAAAGCAACGCTTTAAATAAGCGCTTAATTGCTACATCCTTTCTTGAATGTATGTTATTTTGCGAGATTTAAAATTTACATTTTACAGTTGTGGTTTAGTCTGGCACTTGATGATACGAGTCTTGCACTTGATGATAAGAGTTTTTAAAAAAAGAAGAAGTACATAGATATGGAAAAAATAAAACCGCGTTACAAAAAATCCTTAATGTCAATTTTACAAACTCCTATTCCCGAGTGCCCAGGGTATGAGTGTAGAGAAAAAAGCAGACAGTTGCGTACAAGACGTCCCCTTGTGAGTTGGTTGGTTTGTTGTTTAACGCCGCACTATATGACGGCGGTCTGTAAATAATCGAGTCTGGACCAGACAATCTAGTGATTAATATCATGAGCATCGATCCACGCAATTGGGATCGATGACATGCATCAACCAAGTCAGCGAGCCTGACCACCCGATCCCGTTAGTCGCCTTTTACGACAAGCATAGTCACCTTTTACGGCAAGCATGGGTTGCTGAAGACCTATTCTACCCCGGAATCCCCCTTGTGAGTACTTCCTTACCACCAGGGATAGAATCACCGGACCGATGATGATCCACAGGAACCTTGACTCGTACAACCAACAGCTGCAAAAGAAGGATTTGTTTGTACTTGGTATTCTTCAGACTTGGTCCATTGAATCGCATCTTGAAATTTTCATTTATTTCGCACGCAGAACAATGGATTGAACGGTTTTAAAGCAAGGAAACCTTTTTTTCTGAGGAGGTGTCCCACGACTTGGTAAATGAGTTCAGGTTGTATTTTATGGTGACGTTTTATGGTGCACCCTTGTCCCAGGTGAGCTTGCACGTAAGGCTGAATGCTTCCTTATTTATATATATATGGTTGTGAGACAATGAGGAATTGACTTTCACTTTGTGAGAGTTCATTGGAGCATGAACCTTTTTAGTTTGGCAAACTGTATTGACGTCGGCGCTTGCGGTTGTTTGATACCGTACTCGGTTGAGTTTAAATATGGAATAATGATTGACGGTAAAGTGGAAATACTTACTTGACATTGTCTGTGGAGTCCATTCCTCGCATGGCAGCGTAGATTACAGACGGAACGAAGGGAAAGCCTTAAACACAAATTAATACATATTAACAGTAAATGCGCCAAAATACATTTCTATAATCATACGCTATCTCTACCAAAAGAAGAATCAATTGTACGCTTCCGACTATATCATAAGCAAATGTTTATGAATCACGGCAAATAGTAACGATACCTGGTGTTCGCGAAAAGGTGACCGTATCCTTCTCTACCGGTGGTTACCCGTCGAAAACACATGCAAAGGCATGTCAATTGTTCACGTAAACAACTGCAGGAACTCCATGTACAAGGCACTGATGCGTCACATTTGGAAGTATGTCCCACATATCCACCATGTCTAGAATGTTGTGACCCTGATGAAACACCTTTTGACCAAGAGTCGTATGACGCTCTTTTAAGAAAGTGCATGCTCGATTGTACCTCTACAGGAAATCATCGACAAGCTGCTTTTGTAACAATTAGATGGTGAAATGACTTTGTGCACACCCAAACGCTGTATACGTTTTAGTATTTGCCTATTTTAAAAGAAAACTTAGTCCTAAATGCATGAACTTTAGTTAATTATAGGTTCTATGGTATTACTACAGTCATTATTGATAACATCCATAAACGTACGGTCGCTCAAGTGTCCGGAATGTCCCTTGCTGCCATTGTAGATATAACGAGAACGCTCTGGGATTTTGTTTGTGGAATCATTGTAACCAAGTGAGTGAGAGAGTATGGTTTTACGCCGCTTTTAGCAATATTCCAGCAATATCCCGGCGGGGGACACCAGAAATGGGCTTTACACATTGTACCGATGTCGGGAATCGAACCCGTGTCTTTGGCGTGACGAGCGAACGCTTTAACCACTAGGCTACCCGATCGCCCCCATTGTAACCAAGGCCACTCCCTCATCCATATAACACATGCATGTCATCACACCAAACTACAGCCCCGTGGGGGTTCCGTCCCTGTATGAATTGATCCCCTGCAACTCGTGCTTGTCGTACGAGGCAAATAAATGGATTGGGTAGTTAGCTCGGGGACTCGTGTTATTGCACCTCGACGGCGCATGACGTTGCTCATATTATCAGTCACTTGTCTGACTGGCCCGGAGCCGATTATTTACAGGCCGCTTGTAGCCGGAATAATGCTGAATGCAGCATCAAACAACAAAAAAGCAACATAATACAACCCAACGCCAGGTCTCATAATTATGACATAGTGGCCACAGACGACTGCTCTCACCACCAACCACTTATAGGAGACCCTACCTAACGCCAAGATGCCTTGTATTTCACCTCCACGTGTTTACCTGAGCAGTGGGCAATGAATATTCTACACAGCACGGAGAAACAAAAACGCACGAAAGAACATAGAAGGGCGAAGAAACACACAATCATGCAAAAGACTTATATAAAGAAGCGCGTGTAAAATATGTATCGTTTAACAACATATGGTATGGTGCAACCTGCGTCCTGCTTCTAAAACGAACAAAGAGTCAGTTGCTTGATTTTAACACCGCTTTCAACAGTATTGTAGTTGTGTGGAATCTCTGACGTCTACCACTATGTTGTTTGTTGTTTAACGCCGGGCTTAGCAGTATTCCACTTATATGAGGCGGTGTGTCAATAACAGACAATCCAATGATTGGCATCATGAGCATCGATCTGCGCAATTCGGATACGATGATGTGCATCCACCAAGTCAGCGAGCCTGACCACCATATCCCGTTAGTTGCCTATTACGTCAAGCATAGTCGCCTAGGCCTTTTACGGCAAGCATGGGTTGCTGAAGACCTATTCTACCCCGGATCTTCACGGGTACACTACTGTGTTGAAACGAATGAGCAAAGTATGGTGCTTAAAACACCAAGACTTATAACTGGGTGAATCGGCGGATCCTGGCCTGACTAAGGAAAGCAACTCCGCACTGCGAATCACTTTTAATTCTATTCAAACAGGGAGCGAACATATTAACCTGTAGGCTGCACAAACACCAAATTTGAACATCCGAATCAGAGTGAGTGAGTGAGTGAGTGAGTTTGGTTTAACGCCGCTTTTAACAGTATTCCAGTTATATCGCGGCGTGTCAGCTTAATGTGGGAGGGAAGCCCGACGTGATGCAGGTCAAAGACGTTTACCACTTCGGTGAAACCCACGGGCACGGGTATGGTGCTGACAAACCTAGAAACATAATCGGGGCGAACCGGGATTCGAACCCACAATCATAGATTTCTGGCGTGCCCAAGGGACGCAACTCTGCACAGCGAATCGCGGCGCCTTAGACGACTGGGCCACCCGTGCCCCCTATCCGAATAAGAACAATCCATAAGCTGCGTCTCCTGAGTTATGGGCGAGTTTGCTTGCAACTAAACTTATCAATCAAGCTTTAACCGTCAGAGGTCATCCCAGGAAAATCATGAAGATATTCAGAGGAAATTAATAAATAGGTCACATTACTTGTCAACATGATGGTGATGCTATCCCATGCTGTGGCCTGTACATCCAGTTGTTATACCTTACACACTGACATTTCGGTGACTGATTCATCGCTAGCCTTTACACCTCCATAGAATCTGTTTCGTCAGATATTCGAAACTGTTTACTTTCTGGCGATGACGTTACGTATTTTGTAGCTTTGTTTAGATGATGATGATGATGATGATGATAACTGCTTATTCTCTGGCGTTGAAGTTTCATATTTTGTAGCTTTTATGATGATGATGATGATGATGATGATGATTATTAAAGTGATAACGTTACTGCAAGAATCATTAGGATCATAAGTTAGAACATAATATTGAACTGACATATACAATAACTAAACAACAGTCAAGAGTCTCTCTTTGTACATGTGGCAGGATGTATATATTTGGGATTATTTTAAAAGTAGTTTAGTATAAACTTATCCAAAACATAGGTATTTTAGGATTAGTGTATTTACTAAATAAATTAGTTTACTTAGTCCACTAACTCACACCTCAGTAACATAATCTAACATGTGGTGATTGATTCTTTGTGCTAAGGCTACTGCGGTCTCAGTCTAGCCTATTGTTCTCTGCCGGTCAGCTTGGCCTGGCTTTGTATTTCCCGCGTCACATGACCACCTTGGTCATGTACTTCATACCCTTACCATGTGCACCATTTCTAGTCACAGCTCTCACTGGGAAAGGACAGTTCCGTTTGGGGTGAGTTAAATATATTTATTATCATTGTACTTAGGTTTCTAGTATATATAATATATTTTAGTACACGCATATTAAGTCATTTATGTTCCATAAGAACAGTATATCATGTATATGTTATAAACATGAATTATCAGTATATTCATGTTAGTGCAATATATATTTAAATATTGTAAGATGTTACCATTGAGGTATATGCATAATGAGTGTACTAGATTTAAGCATGTATTGGTATTATTTTATCATGAAAATGTAAAATACCAAAACAGTATATTTGTTGATTTTATCATACATATGAAATGCCTAAAAATGTTGATTTTTATACTGCTAGATGAGTTTCACATGCCATGTATACAATGTATGTGATGTTTACCATACCAGTAAGATTCATGTAGTTATATATCATTTATCAGGTCACGTAAGATACTGCATGACCAGTTTTGATGACATCTGGTGGTTTGGCCTCCGTCCCTCAGACGAGGTGAGGGTTACTTCCCTTAGTTATACGTATATTTATGTCAACACGTTATGGCATAATTGTCTAGGCTATTGTAATGTTATATTGCTTAATATAGTATTATTTAGTTGCTTTGTAGTGTATTCAGTGATATCATCCTCACTGAGGAGATATCCTCCACAACATGCTTTACCGTACTAAATGTAAAGTAAGTGTTCACATTATATCTTATTGATTGGCATATCAAACACATGTAATGGATGTATAACGGCAGTATTCTTTTAATGATCTATTGGTAATGATGTTTGCCTACATTTTGTAAATATTGTGTTTTAGGGAATCATCTTCATCATCATAACCACTGATTGCATGTGGACCATCATTGGAATAAATCCGGTTGTAAACACAGCATGCTTTTGTGTCTCTCATTACCCTGCATAAGCCTCTGCGACATACATATATAACGTCCACGTCATAGTCTTTAGATAATGGAGCTAAGACTTATTTCATATTTTAGTTCCATGTGGGGATCCGGGTACAATAAGTAGTAATGTGTCCTCAGCACCCCATTGCTGGCCGTAAAAGGCGACCAAATTGGGCAACCCTGTGTCGGTTGAGGAGGGGAGTCTGGTAGTTGAGGGCACTGGTTCCTGGAACTGTGTTCCTTTGCCCAACACACTACTTAGACTCTAACTTCACCTTTAACGGGCTGGTAGAATGAGCCCAGTTCTATCAGTTGGCTGGTCACACCAAGCCCTTTGTGTATTACTTCTAATTTTTTCACATGCATGTATTTTTATATTTATCACACATATACTGCTTGGTCTTTTGAAAACACATTTATTGAATTAAATATATTGCCTAGAGTCCTATGCCAGAAGGCGGTGACTCATGGGCCATTCTGGTAATGTTGACCGTTGAATTCTGTAAATTATTGTTATTGGCAGAACAAGCTTGGCAATAAAAATTGATTACACAAATACAGCTATTCATGTCATATTTGCTGGAGTATAACACCCCTGTAAGCCCTGGTGTTTTGCCTTTTGGATATCCAATGCAATAAGACACCGTCCTTGTTGACACTCGATGGTGGGTGGAGAGCAGGGGTGCAGAACCACTTTATCTCATGATCATTAAGTCTCAAAAACACTCTGGTTCATAAAGGAAACATTTAGATGCTAGCTCATCTGATAAGGAAATTGATCGCCAACTGGATTCCTGGGCTCGATTCATTGTGATCGAGGCATCAAATCATCAACCCATGAAATTAAACCCATTTGCCATTTCGAAGGCCATCAATAGCTGTCGTGGTGTGGTTAAACATTTCAACCACCTCCGTAATGGCTCCATACTTGTGGAATGCTATTTGCAAATGCAGAGGTTGCTGCCTCAGCACATA